AGGATTTTGAATACCTAAACAGGTGGCAACGGTTTTACAAAATACTTTCGAAATAAAATCTTCTTTAAAAAGCTTAAAATCTCGCATTTAACTTAGCAATTAAATTGAATTTTTAATTCTAAGCAGGTGGCATCCCCGTCAAATATATTTTCGAAATAAAGCGTTCTTGAAGATCTCTCTTTAGACCGTTTTTTTTTTGTTTTTTTTTTATTGTTTTACACCTGCATCGTAATATTTGATTGAACTTTTTAATCTAATTTTATATAAACAGGATGCAACTCTTTTAAAAAAGAAACCTTTTTTTCAAGCCAGGTCATGAGCAAATTTTCATGCCAACTTTCATGTGCAAAGTTTCATGCAAATCCGTTCAGTCATTTTCGCATGATCTAGCGACAAATATCTAAACTCACAAACCCACAAATACACAGACTTGTATACCTTTTTAAGTCTCGAAAAATATATTCACTGAATGCTCCACTTTGTCATCATACAAGCCATAAACTAATCGCTAAATGTCGGCCACCTACAAATATGTGTGAGTATGCATAAAAAATTTATAAATAGCAGAAAAAAATTAAATATCACATAAAGTATAAATATATCATTTGTCTGCTTGTAAATGTGTCTTTTAACGCTATTCCTGAGCGTTCAACCCTTGCTCATACATAACAACCCACAATCAACTGACATTGTAATCTTAATTTATCCATAAAACCTATGCATATTTGTACATATGTACATATGTATGCAGGTATATGTATATCTATGAGCGCCCGCAAAAAGAACAATAGCAACATTAAGTAGTGTCACAATAAAAGCATGCAATAATATGGCAACTCTAACAACATGTGGTGCAATAAACTAGCCTAATAGCGCACATAAAATAATTCCCACGTTCAAATTTCCATTTTCGCGCCATAAAATGCGTCATTTAGACAGACTGGAAAAAAAATTAAAGCAGCTTTTGTGAAAAGCAAAAAAAAAACCAAAACAGAAAAAAAAGGTAAACAAAAAGCCAATCTCAAATGAGGGTAAATACAAAAACAACAACAAAAGAGCAGTTAGTGGCTCATTTCGCTAGACCTGGTATGGTATGGCTTGCCAATTTTTATGTTGCATACATATGAGCTGATAACAAAGAGCAGCAGCGACACAAAACAGTTTGCGAAAACAAAGAACTGTAATATTGCTAAGTGTATGCGTAGCTCATAAAATTGCATGCTAGTCGCAATCGAATAACGCCTAGCAATACTCCATTGTTCATATTTTGCTTTTCATCTCTCATTAATGGAATTGCCTTAAACGCTCTTTTCTTTCAACTCCTTACTCCTTACTGGCATTGCTTTTATTACGTGTATTGGTTTGCTTTTATTGTTGCTGTCATCAATACAATTGGCATTAGAGTGTCATAAGTGTAACATAATGAAATCGGTGAGGTGAGGTGTGTGCCGTTTGTCTGTCTGCCTTTTGTATGCAGCAGCATGCGAGTATAGCGCTGGTTGCCATGCGGCAGACAAAATTGTTACAATTTTACATGCAGCCAGCGGCAGCGAAAAACGTGACGCATACGAGTATAATAACAACAATAGCAACACCAATTCACCTTTAGGCCAGAAGTCTGGTCTAAGTAGTAAAAATGAATAAACAAAGTCTCCTGTATAAAGTACAAGATCACTTTTGTGTGCATGCATATACATATGTATGTACATATGTATGTATGCATTTACATAGGTATGTCATAAATGAGTGCTATAAAATGGAACAATCAGCGCAGTTCACTCTACGCCTCTACTTTCTAGCATGCGGCACCTCAACTTATTTTGCGAGCTAGCCTATCCACCTACATACAATAGCATGATTTGATAATTTTTTCTGCTATTTTGGATATTGGTTATAAAATTAGTTCAGTAATATTTTTTCAATATTTCTCTTTTAAATATTTAAGTGCACACGTGAGCTTTGCAAATCAAATAAATTGACGAAACGGGTCCATGCGGATTCGAAAAGTAATTATTAGTACCAAATAAGAAAGAGAGTTTTAGATACAGGCCATCTGCTGCTGATGCAGAACAAGCGACGCAAAGTCTCATCCAAGCAGACGACAAGGAATGTAGGAAAAATATGGAGTATAAAATCTCTCGTCGATTCCGCGCGAAACTGTGAGAATGCGACCCCAGATCGCTGACGTCGAGAGAAAAGGCGCGAATGAGAAAGAAGTTGCGGAAACCAAACCCCCTGATCTGCCTGTGGAACGAATAAGCTTCCGTAGTCACTGCCATCGAAGAAGCCGACGATTGCGAAGTCAATGTTTCCACGGTTTTTGAACGTTGAAAAACCTTCGACATTTGGAGCTGCTATTGTCTCCGGTGGTAAAGGGCCTGTTGCATGCAATTCGAAAAAGCAAATTTTGCATGAGAAAAATGCTGCAGAGAAAAGCACATCAGCTTTATGCTCGGCACCGGAACTCCAGGTGGCAATCATAGACCGGAATCACTCGTAAGGCAAAATTCCAACGGAGAAATTGTTGCTCCTCAAAGAAGATAATATGGGGCAATATTTGGGGAGATCCAGCGTACCAATAACAGCGACTTTGTATGTTTGATGAAGCCAAGTGGCAGAAAAGAGTCAAGCTAGTCGGATGTGATAACAAGGAGTTGTTAGATACATATATAGAATCTAAGAAGCCGATGTCTGCGAAGTCAGGTTACTACCGGTTGGACAGAGAAAAGATGCTGCTATCGCCTCTAGTGGTAAAGAACTACTTGCACGCCCTTCGAAGAGGCTATTGTTGGACCCTAGCAAGTAGTGGCAAAAGCCGCAAGTCTATCTACTAGAAAACTCATACTTCTCACACCATCGACTGAAGGTAGGATTAGAGACAACAATTTGGCTAAGAGAGGCACAAATCTAATTTTTCTTTCCAGTTAACAATGCAGACATGACAGTAACAATGTGGTAGCAGAGAGAAGCACCCAATTTCATTCTCACAACTTCGTGCAGGCCATGGTTTTTTGCCCGATTTCCCTAAACTCACCCTATTGGCAGAGCAATGAGGGATAAACTGGCTGTGATGCAAGTACCCCTAAACCTTTTGGAACAGATCTATACATGTACTATATCCAGTTAGTTAAAACTTTACCCAGTTAACTAATCTTAGTACTGCTTTCTTTCGGAGTGTAGAGAATAAGTTTAAACGACTATGTATCCACAATTATAGGCATAATATATGTATTCGAATATTTTTGCTTCAATAGCGACACACGGCACGATTCAGATACATTAAAATATGAATATCGATGGTAATAGAGGAGGAAGTTTAATTTTCGACAAACGAATTAGAGCAATAGAATGTTAAAACGCCTGCATTCAGAAATCCGTTTGCCTAATAGGATTGGATGTGATGTCACTTTGAATTAATGGGCTTTAAGAAAAAAACGTCACAAATGATTTTGAACGAGACTCCATAAAATACAATTATATTTACGAGGTACTTTTAGTACATACCTATGCACTTTTCCTCCATTATAGCTGCTTATTCATGCTTATGTATGTACTTGTATATGTAGGTATATGTAGGTGTGTACGGTTGTTTGTTTGTTTGTAGCTACTCTTGCAGAGTACTTATTCATGAGCTCACTTCACATTCAGATTACTCATTTCGGCTTCAGTAAATGTCGCACCACCTACGCTTAAGCCACTCCATACAGCAGCCACACCACATTTGTTGCACATGTTGCACCCACGCGCATCCATGCAACACATATTCGTCTGTACGAAAACATTATGCACATCCACACACACACACACAATAACAATAACAATACAAGAGGTCTTACTCTTATTTTCCGCCTAACACAAAGTCAACATTTAATCCAATTCGCACAGAATGAAGTCATTTCCAGTCATTAAATGATATGGCAATAAAGCAATGCTTTGAACACACCTACCAAAATGAAATCGACATTTAATTATGAAACTAAAGCGTCGAAATAATTAAGTGAAATGAAATTGTAGGAGCAGTTAAGGTATGGGCTTTCAGAACAGAGGTGTGTTGATGCCACACATTTGGTGTTGAATGACGCATTGTTTGGGTGGATGATGTAAAGAGTTCAATTTACTTAGGTGGGAAAATTAAAATGAATGGATTAATGAGGTATATATCTCTACCCGAATGGCTCTTATAATTCTTGTAAACGAGGTTTTAGATCCACCAGACGGTAGCTTCTAAACCGGGACAATAACTCGATATGCTTCCATCACAAAATAAAGTCATAACACTCAGCGCGTATAAAACTGTCAGTAAGTTCCAGTTCCCCTTATGATCTTGGAGCCTTGTATGGACACATATTAAGCATTAACTATAGGAAATATCTGTACTAGACTAACGGAGGTAACGACCCAGTATTGTCAACAAAATGTTTCGTTAGTTCGTTAGTTTCAATCAGTTTGAGGTAACTTTCTCTTAAAAGAAGCGTTAAGAGGTCCATCTAGGTTTGTGATATCACTAAAGAGAAAGCATTCAAGTTGTTTCTTAAACCATTTTTCGAACTTTATAAATGACGCGAGCATGTTAACCCCTTGTTGCCCAAGCCCAGAAAAACATTAGTTTTCGTATTAATTTTTGTATATTATAATTCATATGCATGTTTTATTAATCAATAAAAAAAATCATAAATTTCAAGGACATCTTAGTATAAGAAAAGGATATGGTACTATGCAGTACCGTCGGGTTTCAAGAATACAATTTTTATACTTCAATCCCATGGTATTCGGCGAAACAGTTTTTTTTTTTCATTGCAGCATAAATATATGCCGCAGTGTTGGCATTTCGAATGTGGTTTTGACTGAACTTTGGTTATGCTACACATTTCACATCTTCCTCGGCTTTCAACAAATATAGGCCAATGTACTCCCAAATTACCTAATCGGACATCTTTTGCCACTGACTCACTCTTACCACGTCGTTTTTTGCCTGATGGTGNAGTAATTTTTTCGTGAGTTTGACAGTACACGATGTAAGAATTAATGAACGTTATTTCTAGAAGCCCCCAAAACAATCTATGCCACCATTTTTTAGATCGTCTGTCTATCCCGTAGGCACTTCTTAACTGATCAGCATGGTCTACTCCACCCATGAAAGAGTTGTAATCTTTAATTGCAGTTGGACATTTAACCTGTATTTCTTTCCCTTTCCGATCTCTTCTCTGAACTGAAGTTTGCTCAGTGCCATGAAAATTAGATGCCAATAATATTGGTTTGTTATCTATCCATTTAAAAACAATTACACCGTTCATTGTGGTTCGTGAATCAAACTCGCCTCTTTTCATTTTTTTGTCTGGTTTCATGTTTGATGGAAGTCCTTTCCGATTTGCTCTTATTGTTCCACATGCAAAAACTTTTTGTGCTTGGAGAAATTCTAGGAGCCTAACAGATGTAAAATAGTTATCGAAGTACACGTACTTTTTCTTTCCCCACTCTAGTTCTGTTAAAGACAAAACCACTCTCTCCCCGAGACCAAACCCTTCGTACTTTTCTTCAACAGTTTCATCTTTTCCTTGGTATATTGAGAACTTTTTAATATATCCATGTTGATCCGCCAAACACCATAATTTATAGCCGCGTTTAATTGGCTTCATTGGGCAATATTGTTTGATGGCGCTTCTACCCTTAAAAACAATCATAGATTCGTCAACTGATAGTTCTTTTGTTCCATGATACTTATACCTGTTGAAATCGTTGGTTCAGAGCGTCGATCATTGGACGAATTTTGAATAGTCGGTCTTTGTTGTTTTCTGGGATTTTAGAGTTATCATTTACATGCAAAAATCGTAATATTGAGTCAAATCTATTTCGGGACATAGTTTTGGAAACTACGGGTGCAGCCAAATCTTCACTCGTACTCCAATAATGTCGCCAACTTGGAAGTTGATGGTAACCCATAAAGAAGTTGATGCCGATAAATGCATAGAATTCATTTTTTTTAAGATTTAGGGTTTTGTCTTTTTGCACGGCATATAAATTTGAATGAAATATGATTCCCTCAACAATAGTTTCAATGAATGACAAGAAAAATTTTGTTGGAGTATCTATATCTTCAAAATAACCAACTACTGTTCCCTCTGGTGAGTCAAATTGTGAAACCTCTGTTATTTTCTCAACTTTTCTCCATTTTCGCAATGGTTCTTCAAGAACTCCGTTTTGGGGATCTTCCAGTAATATATTTGCCTCGGCAGTTTGTTCTGCCTGGATTTGATTTAGAATCTCATTAAAAATGTCATCCTCACTGTCTTTTGAAAGGATCACTTGTTCATCTTCATCCTCACTCTCAATATCAGTACTTTGGCCATTGTCGAGTGAAATTTCTTCCAAAATTGCAGCAAATTCATTTTCTCTCAAAGGTTGCCGTAAACTGCAGACATGATTAACTAAAAACTATATATAATTGCATATATACATATACATATTACATTTGAGAATACTACAAGGGCCAGCAGAGCCCAACGGTACTTACAAGTCTCCAATGGAAAATCAGTTATCACTGACAAACAAACAAGAGCTAGATAGTTTTTTCGTCAGTTATAGAAAAATAAATCACCAAGCTTATATTTTCTTTTTATTTTGTAGAAAAATATTCAAAACTTTTCTAGAAATAATGAAAAAAAGACGCCACTATTCCAACTTGAAATGAGCATGCAAAGAAAAAATAGAAAATATGTGACAAAAAGTGCCATTATTTTGTATTCTGGAGTACCGTTGGTCTGCATGGTAGAAAAAATTCACCCATTCTGTTTAAAAGAACAAAAATAATGATGGTACTGGAGAGTACCGTCGGACGACAAGGGGTTAACCCATCTTCAGCAATCGAAGAGTATCTGAAAAAACCATTATACATTTTAGCTGGAGCGCGGCCATGAAGGAGTATATGCTATGTATCCAGTTATGATACCATCCATTTTCATTTTAGCTAGCTGGTAGCCTTCCAAAAAGCTTAAGTTGAGTTAAGTTAGGTTAATACGACTCCTTTCACAGGCGCGTTTAGACTAGTAAATTAGCTAATCTTTGAGTTACCATTACGATAGGAATAGGACGAAAATAGAGCGAGAAAGGCGAAATCGCAAAAGATTTGAAGCCAAAATTGCTTCCAACAATAACGAGAGATTTGACTTCTTTAGTTTTAAATGCTCCCTAGACCGCCGCCGGACAAGCGGAGTACATAAAGTCAATAGGGTAAACACTACTTCCTTATGTGGCGGAAGTTTCTCAAGAATACCCCGACTTGCTAGCTCATAGACCATTCAATTCCCTATGAGTTTTCGAACAGGTCACTAAAGAGACACTGACTCGCCTGGAAAACCCTGCAAAAATCCGGGAGCCTAAATTTGAAATTAATGTAGAGCTACCTGAAAAAGAAGCCTACAACTAACTCCACCCAGTGCTACGTGGATTGAAAGAAGCTCACTATATAAATATCAGAAGATTTAGTAAGACTTTTAGAGAATTCGTGGCATTAGAAGGCATAGCTTTCATAATGAGGGCCTAGGGATAACGTATGTGTGTAAGAACTAAAGTCTCAAATTCTGCTAAGAATTTAGTCATGCCGTCGTACTCGCTTTTGTTGCTTCCTAAATTTTACTTTCGATACTTTTTAGGTAGCACTGATTAAGGGCTCGTACACTAAACGTAGGCGTGCTTTAGAACAATGTATTTTCATGTACATACACGTTTTTTCGCTCACCTGTAAAATTTTAGTGCCGTAAGATAGAGGTTTTTGAAAATACATTGACTCGTAAGTATTTCATCAAAGCCTAACCGTAATTTAGTAACGGTAATCAACAACATATCACAACAACTTGCCAGCAATATTTTTAAAAGTAAGTAAAAATGTGTGAACTTATATATCGTCGGTGATACTGCAAAACGTTCTATGTCACTTTTTACCTCTAGTACTTAATTGATCTGTTATCTATATCTGATCGCTTCTGGTAATCGTTCATCTTCATCAGCCAAAGGTAGGCAATTTTGTCTTTCGTTTATGAGGGTGTAAAGATTCGCAGATGCATTCCGGTGCAAGTAGCCCTGCAGCAAATCAAACTGGTTCAGAACTTGCGCTGAGCTAGCCTG